TACAGATATAGATATAGATATAGGTATAGATGACAGAGTTGTGTTTTTTTTCCAGTGCTGAAGCAGGGAACCATAGCGCCGGTGCATTCCAGGCAAGCACTCTACCCCTGGGCTCTAGCCCCAGCCCTTTGTAGTTTTTATTTACAAGCACAGTCTCTAAATTGCTCAGGCCAGCCTTGAACTTGTGATCCTCCTACCTCAAAGGCCTTCAGAGTAGATGAGACCATAGACTTCATTCAGATATTCTGATAGCTACAATTTCAATATAAAATGTACAAAATACCAAAGAACTGCTACAAATGAAGAAGAAAAAAGCTGAATAAGAAAATAAGCAAAAGACATAAACGGTCAAATCACAGATGCTATACCAGAAGAAATATTACAAGAATACCAAATCTCAATCCTAATCAAGAAAATGCAAATAATAAAAAGTGAAATACTCTAATTTTTTAAATCTGAAGGGAGTTTTAAAAAGTGATCCATAATATTGATGAGGTTACAGGGAAAGGATCCTTTTAATACACTGCTGTTATTAGTACACATTGGTAAAAGCCTAGGGTATCTCCCAGTGGTAGGGAGAGTAACAGGCTCCATAGGGGGAGCTGATCCCCATGAACCTGTGACTACGTTAGTTTTACATGGCAAAGGAGAATTCACTTTGCTGTGAGATGAGGTTGCTAATCAGCTGACCTGAAAACAGGGAAATTATTCTGGATTATCTGGGTGAGCCTAACATAATCATCAGGATCCTTACAAGCAGAAAAGGTACCCAGGCTCACTGGCACAGCCTATAGTCCCAGCTACTCCAGAGGCTGAGACAGGAGGATGGAAAATTCAAGCCCAGCCTGGGCAATTCAGTGAGACTTTGTCTCAAAATTTAAGGGGAGTTGGAGGGGCTGGCAATACAGTTCATATGAAAGCTCGGGTTCAATCCCCAGTACTCCCACCAAAAAAAAGTAGAAAAACTAAACAAGAGAAGGAAAACCAGAGAGAAGGCAGTATGACAAAGATGTGCTCAATATTGCTGGAGAAAGGGGAGCAGCAACTAAGAAATGCAGGCACCACTAGAAGCCAGACAGCCAGGGGACAGCTTCCCACCAGAGCCTCCAAAAAGGCCACAGCCTGCCTGCCACCACCTTGGTTTTAGCCCAGTGAAACTGATTTTGCACTACCCACCTTTAGAACCATGAGCTATCTTTGTATTGGGTTAATAATTTTGTGGTAACTTGTTATAGGAGCAATGAAAATGCTCTAGTACCCTAAAGAGAAGCAGGGCACATATACACAACGGTATAAGTATGCCTCAGCATAAAATATCAGCACAGAACTGAAAGAGGCATCCCAAACTGATAACCCTGGTCATCTCTCTGATAAAGGGCAGAGGTGACTGCAACTGGAATGGGATCTTTACTAAATATTTTTTGGTACCAGGGATTGAACTCGGGTCCTTGGGCCTGCACAGCAGGCGGCGAAACCACTGAGCTAAATCCCCGGCCCTATTCTATATTTTTTGAAAGAAAATATCTCCAACATACAAACTTAAATGAGAAATCCAAAATATACAGAGCAAAATAAAAAAATAGGAAGTAGGGAGATGGGGGAGGGAAGGGAGGAAAAGGGGATGGAAAAAAAGAATCAAGATGTGTTATGTACCAGCTCCCCATGTACATTACATGTACGTCCATACATGTAATGCAAACATGTACTAATAAAAAATAAAAAACTGGGCCAGGGATTTAGCTCAGTGGTTCTGCTGCCTGCCTCCCAAGTGCAAGGTCCCAATTTCAATCCCCGGTACCAAAAAGAAAAATTTAAAAATTAAAAATAGGGCTGGGGATTTAGTTCAGTGGTTCCACCGCCCACCTCTTAAGCACAAGGTCTCGAGTTTGATCTCCAGTACCAAAAAAA